TTACAATTAGCAACAAAAAAGATAAGTCTAAGTTTCAGTTTCCAATTAATATAAAAAAAACAATAATTCGGAATTAGTTCTTATTATTTTTTGGAAAAGAAAATTCAAAAGTTCCTAATACTATTGGGATAAGAAAATTTATTCTCGGTTCTATATAAGCACTTCATCCCCACATCTTCTTAGCTTAAGCAGAGTTCTTCTTAGCTTAAAATAGAGCTCTTTGAGTGTTTCAGTGGCACCAAATATAGGTTCTTCTCCTTCCATCCATGTTTTTCCACGCTTAGTTTTTGACGATCTTGAAAAAGATTTTACTAACAAGGATATTGTTTTCAGGATCATCCACTTTTGGGAGGCACGTAACCCTAAAAAACGTGACTTACTTATGGGATGTCGAGTTGTTGCTTATCACCTAAAAGGTAATTAAAAATCAAAAACTGATTTATGTCTAAATATAAAACCCATCACATAATTGTTACGTTTAGCATAATTCTCATCATCAAGTCTTTGTTGTTAATTGACATACTTGTGTCCCAAGTCCTAAACTCTTCCTTGATCAAAACTTTATTTAATCGATGCTTATTTATCNTTACAATCCCATTATTTATTTAATNATNACTATTNGTNTTTTCTATATATAGTGAGATATATCATAACTAAACGTTTTAGTAAATTATAACTAAACATCTTCTAACATGAATTTATAAAGTCAACCTTGATCCAACATTACGACAAACCGAATAGGCTACTATAAGGGAAAGATCAAACCCGGTGAAATCTACAAGATAATTTTTTTTTAGTCATTAATAACAAGACAAGCTACATGGTGTCTTCTCACAAGTTTTTAATCCAATTCACCCTGCTAGCAAAATTGTATAAGGTTGTCGATGGTGGGTACATGGTGTCTTCTCACAAATTTTTATTCCAACATGAACAAAGACCTATATGGTAATTTTTTTTTTTTTATATCTATTGTTATAATACCACAAGAAACTAACTTCAAACATGGTTCCTTTGGAAAGGTAATCCTTATCAAACATAAGGATTTAAAAACACAATTCTATAGGTCCACATCAACATTTACATTAATTGGATAAATTAGAAAATATTTTTAATTGTAAGGTAGTTTTGATAATATGAAATAGCATCGGAGATAAGGAAACTATGACATAATTTTCTATTAAATATTACAAAATATTTAACTTATAATATATTAGGAAAATTTCTTAAATCTAAAGTCTTAACAATATATTTTAAAAAAATATTGAGAAGGTGGAAGAAAGAGTTTACAGACAAAAATATGCCAAAAAATAATAGTCATAAGTTGAATTGTGGTAACAATTATCCAGTTGTTATAATATATTTTGACAATGAATAAAAATATGTTAACTACTTTTGTCCTTTATGGTTGGATTCATATTATGAGTATGGCTATCTTTTTTTCAAGATATTAACTTCTATTTTTTAAACATTAAGTGTAAGTTATTTTTTTTTATTGTTAATAGAAAACGTATACTTTTTTTAAGTTTGATTTTTTTTTCTTACAAAATTTTCCATATAAGAAAATAAATATATCATTAAAAAGGTAAAATATAATCAATGTATGATTAAAGCTAAAACAAATTAGAATCATTGAATTTTACTTGATAATCTTAACATCAAATAGCGTCAAATTTTATTAGTGAAAAAAGGTTGAACCTACTTGATGCTAAGGTGGTCTACATAGAATTTTAAACGGCCAATAATTATAGTCCACATCAAAATTGAGAATTAAGTTACATTTTTTCTATTGTGAATAGAAAATTTCTAAATTTTAAAAGCATTTAGTATAAGCTATTTTTTTTTTGTTGTTAATTGACATTTTTTTCCAGTTCAGTTTGAAATATTTGTTTTGAGCTTTTCTATTTAATTCTTAAAAGGGTAAATAGAATATATGGATATTAAAGCTAAAAAATTGGAAACATTGAATTTTATTTGACAATCGTAACATCAATTAGTGTTAAATGTTATTACCATCCTAGAAAGCAAGCATGATGAAAAATTTAATGGTTTGAAGTTGAAATTAGAGAATGATAAAGAAGAGTTGAGAGATTGGTGATATGGTAAAGATGATAATAGGTGAATGAGCAAACATGTCAAACTACAAATGCTAGAATTTGTTGTCACAATTAATAAAGGTAAAATAAACCTTTTCTCAAAAAAAAAAGAAGGTAAAATAATAGAAAAAATTGTATATTAATCAATTAGTGTTTACATTATGCTTTTAATATTTAGTTTCAGTGAGATAGAATTAACCAAAAATATATAGATTTAGTATTGCATAATTTACTATTTGAATAAGAGACTTCGTGAATTGTTGCCAAAAAAACCGAAAGGATCATGAGATATCAATTATAACTTGTATTTAGCATAAATTACTAACCAATAGAAATTACTATTTATGGTAAAATAATTAATTAGTTATATACGATATTTTCATCTTTTTAACATTATACTTTTGCATTCGTGTACGTCAATATATAGATCACTTAAAAATTAACAAGTCTAAATATATATTAAACTCATCGATAAAACAAACTCACGCGTAGGGTGTGTATAAAACCTAAGTCAATACTATATGAAAGTACAAGGGCACTCTTCTGTTTTCTTTCGTGGGAAAACGACACGTGGCAAGTACAAATATTTTTTCATTCGTTTAATATGATAAAATGTTTGGGCATTAGCCCATTCTCATCCAGCCCAAACCACCAAACATCAACACCATCTCCACCCTTATCAACGGCACCTCTTCACCTCCTCCTCACCTTACCACGTGGGTAAGGAATTCAATAGACCTACTTAACATATTATTTTGAGGTTTTATGGATTCCTTGCACGCCCGATTATAGATTTTTCATGATACAAAACATTCGTATCCGATGGAAAAACAAATGGAACTCCTCTTCTTTCTCAACGGGTGTCGTCTGAAACAATCAAACGTCCTCCTCGTCTAATGATTGTCTCGGATCTTTACCATACTATGGTAAACCCTCCTTTTTCAGATTTTAGCTAATTAAGGGTTTTATGATTGTGATGCGTACACGTTTTGGTGCAGGTTGATAGTCATGATCGTCAGAATCAACCATGATTCTCTCCTTGTGCAAGATCACCAACTTTGTCCAAAGAACTGACAACTGAAAAAAATAAAAACCTTTGTTGACCCCTGATATTACCACTATGTCTGTAGGAACCGAGATTAAGTATGGTAACTCCATGGTTCCTGATCATGGTTGGGTTGAAACTGAACAATAAATGGGATTTGGGGATTGTCAAGTTCCCTGAGTCAAAATTTTCACTCCTCAACAAAGTCTCAATGGTACACTGTTGAAGTCAGAAACTGAGCAGAGGCCTCACGAAGTTAGCTTTTCGGTTGACAAGAGTAAGGCTCAGGAAGTGACTAAGGACATATCACATGGTTTGGGATTTGCCTTGATGATGTTATTTTAGCAACAACAATTTGCAGTTTTTCTTTGAGATTTTGTTACTCAAGAAATTGTGTATGGTGGTTGTTTCAGTTGGATGTCAAGATAATTTACAATGGAGGCATGGATTTGGATATTTTACACAAGGTGTCGGAAAGGGACAAGCGCTTGCATCTCTGCTCAAGAAGGGAAACTCCCTGTTAATACTCTTGCTTGCAGCGTCTCTAGGAACAATGTTGAGCTGTTTAGCATTCCATATGTTTCTAACGTTATGGTTAGTTGCTGCTCAATCATGGCTCATAGCATATCTGAATTTCATTTCATTTTCGATGTTGAAATCTCTTTTTCCTATCTCAGGCGCAATGCTCAAGAAGAGCTGTTAGAATGGCACGCTGAAAATGCTCAGGTAAGCCACGTCTCTGAATTTCATTTCATTTTCGATGCTGAAAATCTGTTATATTATGGTGTTCAGATTGGACATCGAGTGTTTCTTTACTTGACTTGTCTAAATTTTTTTACTGCGCTTCAAATCAGAACAGTTCCTGATTCAATTTTATCAAAACGTCTCTAATATTGATCCAATTGGTAACAAATATTTATCGTTGATTTAGCTTTGAATCTTTGGACTTGCAGTTGTTCCAAAAGAAACCAATGAAGTTTGATTTTGTTATTATCAAGTTAGAATTGGTTACCAACCAAAAATTTCCTGCTGATCATGTGATGATATTCATTGGTATTGAGTCTTAGATCCTTTAGTTCTTCAGGGTGATTGATACCATTCTTCATGATCTCAACCGTCGAATCTCTAAATCCTTCTGAGGGTTTTTTTTCAACCATTTCCATACTGCAAAACTTTCACTCTCGTCATTTTTGTTGATATCATGTCTTCTAACTCTGCATTTTTTGTATGTATCTTTTTTCCCCTTCTCTGTGTTTTATTCTGATCTCTTTGGCTTTTGTTCGAGCATCCTTTCGTCACGTCTCGCACATCTCTGCTTATCTCTCTTCACTTGAATTCTTGTGTCATGATCAAACTTCCTTTGACTCTGTCTATCCGTGGCCTCTACTTCTAGAAATTCACACATCTCTTTTTGGAAATCTCTAACTTTTTTCCTCCCACTGCTCATTATATCTTCAAACTTCTCATTTGTCTCCATATCTTCTGACCTTCTGCAGCGTTCTCCTTTCTACTAATACCCTCTGAAATCTTTTGGTGATCACATGAATATCATTTCAATGTTAGGTAGAGCTCAAGGAATTTTGTGTAAATGTTCTACCTACCTTCGTCACCTTGCCTCTTCTCTTTTGCAGGTTTCAAGTCAGAAGAAGCACTTAACTTTGAAAACCAAGAAACACTAGCAGGATACAACCT